GCGTGTTTCTCCTGTTATCCTTCTGGAATTGCTTCTCTGCTTCCCCAAGCACCCAGATGGAGAAAGCCCTGTGTGATTACAGCCCATGTGGCTTTGGTGCAATTATGGGACTGGCATCTCACAGGAATGGCATCTCACATAGGGAGAGCTTGTGGCTGGCATGCTAAGAGTTCTGCCTGCCACAGCAGAACTTTCACACTTTGGTTTGTTTTATATGAAATTTAGAAATTTTCTTTGTGCTAGAGAAGTATACATAATATCATCATGGCTTATCCCTCACTTGCTGTGTGTTCTTATCAGTGGTCTTAAATATTGAAAGACAGAGCTACAGAAAGGAAAAGAGACCCTCCATCCACTCGGTCACTCCCCAAACGGCTGCAGTGGTCAAGGCTGTGTCAGGTGAAGCCAGAGCCAAGAGCTTCTTTCTTGTCTTCCATGTGGGTACAGGGGTTCAGGCACTTGGCTGTCATCTGCTAATTTCCCAGGCATGTTAGCAGAAAGTTGGATCGGAAGTGGACCAGTGAGGACTCCACCAGTGCTCATAAGAGCTACCATAGGTAGCTCATAGGTACTGTGGTTTCACCTGCTGCAGAACAGTGCTAGCACCTTTTCCCAGTGTTGAAGCACCTTGGGGGGTGTGTGTGTGTGTGTGTGTGTGAGAGAGAGAGAGAAAAAGAGAGAGAGAGAGAGAGAGAGAGAGAGAGAGAGAGAGAGAGAGAACTTTTTATTTGAAAAGCAGAGTTACAGAGAGGAGAAATGAGAAAGGTCTCATTCCCCAGATGGCTGCATTGGCCAGAAGCCAGGCACCAGCAGCTTCCTCCAGGTCTCACATGTGGTTACAGGGACCCAAGGCTTTGATCTAGTCTCTGCTGCTCAAACAGGGAGCCGCATCTCCTGGTGGAACTCAAACTGGAACCAGCACCCGTATGCAGTGCCAGTGCGCAGACCGAGGCTTAGCCTGCCCATGGCACTGGCCCCGACAGCACCTTTTCAGATGGGCATTTTGGAAGAAAGCATGTACTGATCGGTTGTCTCCGTAAGTAGAAATGCCCAGGAAGATAGTCTTCAGGTTAACAGTTTTCATGAAGGAAGGAAGGAAGGAGGAAGAGAGAATTTTATAGCTTTAGTGGACATGGGGAAAAACAAACTTTTCCCCTACTGAGTGTGCAGTTTGCTTGTCCTGCTCTCTGTTTGAAAGACACAGAAGCATGTCGGAGGAAGTCAGAATGCCCATCGAGTTTCCATGATAACTTAGAGCAGATGCCATATGTACTTGCTGGAGCTTTTTTGCTTCTTCCTATCTTTTCTCATAGATGAAAATGTGTGTGCAAAATATTTGACACAGGTAAGCCTATAAACTAGTTTTAGTTTTACAGTATAATATTGGAAGGAAAACATTTTGTGGTCTTAAAAATTACTTTTACTATAGGGTTGTTTAGAGTAATGGCAAATTTGTGCGTCATGTACAGGTGTTATGGCACATCTGGTTAAGTCACAGCCTGTGGCACAGACATTCCATTTGGGCACACATTTGAGTCCTGGTCCTCCTGCTTCTGGTCCTGCTCCCTGCTAACGCACCTTGGAAAGTAGCAGCAGATGACCCTGGATGGAGTTGCAAGCTCCTGGCTTTGGACTAGACCGCCCCTGCCTATTGCAGCCATCTGGGGAGTTAGCCAGCAGACAGAAAATCTCGCTCGCTCTTTTTTCCTTGTCTGTAACTTTTTCAAACTAATCTTTTTAGAAAAGAAAATAAATGTTATTCTTTGTGGAAAAATGTAAGTAACAAGTTGGAATTTTGCCTTCCAATTTTTTTTTGTTCTTGTTCCTGAGATGGTTGGTATATTTCTTAAAGAAGAACATGTACTTTATAAAAACTTTGGAGTAGTAGGCCCTTTTTAAAATATATATTTTGTTTGAGAGGCAGACAGATAAATGGAGAGGGCTAGGTTAGAGCAGAGCTAGCTGAAGTTCCATTGGAGGCTATATTAATCTGTCTTACTTTTAACTAAAATACTTGAAGCTCTTTGGCAAATAAAAGGTATATTTGAGCTCATGGTTTGTAGGTTACAGTTCAGGATCAGGTGACCCCATGGTGTTTGTGCAGGCTTATCAGAGAAAAAAATCACACGATTAAGCAGGAAACAGGAGAATTTCTAGATTGAACTTTAAAAAAAAAAAAAAAAGCTACCCTCCACTGAGAACCGTACTCTTAGAATGTGGCTGCAGGCCCCTAACACATCCCACCTCTCGAATGGGGCAATTAGGTCAGCTTGTTAAGTAACTCTGGACAGTTTCTGTAGTGGACCCTGAATTGCCTCTTTCCGAAAACCTGTGACTGTACTTCATGAGTGTGTGGTTGGTGAGAAAAGGTGACATACTTTAACTGTCCTACTCAGAGACTTTCATTAAATCATCTGGGTAGCTCAACAGAAAGTTAAAGGATTCAAGCTGGAGAAAGAGAGCGTACAAGTTATTAGCAGGCTGGGGCCTTTGGAGAAAGAGCCATCAGTTGTCACTGGAATCTGTGTTTGCAGTCAAGCTGTGTGTAGTCTGTACCAGCAGAGCAGTACTTGTGATTTTGCCCACATACACGCTTCAGACTCACATGAAATTCTTGTCTTTGGCTTGGCCCAGACTTGGTTTCAGACATTGGGATTCGAGGCCAGTGTGCTTACAAGACATCCTGTGGCGCCTGGATCAGCTCATAGCCACCTGTCCATGGTGCCAGGCACAAGCATGGGCTGCAGTGGTGGAACCGGACCGCCCTGTCTGGTGTCTGTTCATTGAGTGCTTTCTACAGTGACTGCAGGGTGTTCTGGATTCAGAGAATGTGCCATTATCATCATCATCATCATCATCATCATCATCATCATCATCATCAATCAATGTAAAATATGTACCTTAGGTAAAAGCAGGTAGCTTTCAGTGTCAGAGTAAATAAGTTTACTTTGATGTAAAAATGGTTTTGAAAGGCTTTCAAAAAAAAGTTTGAGAAAAGCATTTTATGAAAAGCCCTCTGGATTTCAGATTTTTGTGCCAAAATAAACAGTTTTTATTTCCATTTAAAAAAATCAATTTTGTGAAACGTGCTTGTATTTCTGATTGAGTGAATTTGTTGTGATCTGTCGCCATCTCTGAAGAACAAGCCTGTGTCATGTACAGCCTTCCGTTCCCCCGGAGAAAAGGGGTGACTGTTGTAACACGGTCTGCCCTCTGCAAAGCTCGCCTTTGCCTGGGTCCATTCTACTCTCAGTAAATGCACATCTGTTAGAGTGCCCGAGAGAGCGGGCTGCGTGTCTGCTGAGGCCCCTTGGAGACTCCCAGGGGTGTTGTGACAGCGATGTGCGTCTTCGTGATTTTTGCCCGCCCTTGCTTCGTCAAGGATGAGTAGGCAACTCAAAACACTGTTGCGTGTGTTGCACTACACTCCTGGTGTAGAGTCTTGGTAATTTCCAGTGAATAACAATCAACACAGATTTTCAGTGTGTAAGCACACTTGCCTTTAATGTTGGTGTGATCCCTCCCCCTTCTCATGGTGTTTGATGTATCTAGCTTCTTGCATCTCTTCCCTTCTTTTCTTGCATTGATGATGAGAGTCTGACTTTTTGTTGGCTGACTGCTCATAGGAGCCAGTTAGTTTGTGCTAGAGGCAGTGCCCTGCAGGCTGTTGGGGATGCTCATCTTTGCAATAGAGTTAGAGGTCCATTTTAGCCAGGGGCAGGGGTCAGGAGCAACTGGAGGCAGCTGCAGATGAGACCGGACCCCCGAGCCAGCTGACCTCCTCAAGGCTTGAGGCCCAGGAGAGTGAGCCTGCACAAGGCGAGAAAGGGTCTAAAATGATCTTCCATCACACTGGGTAGCAGTGGCTCAAATGGAAACTCAGGCACTTTTAGAGAATGCATACTAGGCTGGCAAAACAAACAAACAAAAAACCTACCAAAAAACCCCCCCCTCAATACCCAACAAACCGAAAGTCCACATCAGTTTGCTCCCAAGATTCCCGTTGCTCCCCAGCAGATGGACCCAACTACCCCCCTGCTGCTCACTGCAGCCTCTGGGCACACCGCCGTCCAGCCCAGCTGCCTCACCCTGCCACAGGCACCTGCTGCCTGCTTTGTGACCTACACGGCACTGCTCAGTTGGTAGAGGGCAGTGAGAATGTGAGAGTGGCTTCTGGCTTCCCCGCTGTAGTGAGTGAGGGGCTTGGTTTATTAGGCTCCCATTCTGAACATGTCACCTCTCCATAAGTGAAGGAAGTGTTTGAGTCATTTCGAGTATCTTAATGGCTCACATCTAGAGGCTTTATTAATTGAGTGACTTTTTTTTTAAGAATAGGCTGTGCATCATTTGACCCTTTTGGACAATTAGGAACAATTGTTGTGAATCTTGTAACAGTGCACTTTTGCATTGAACGATGACAGTCTTCTGTCCAATGATTCACTTGAGCACTACTATGCCGATCTAAACAGTGCACTTTTGCTTGAACTGACAGTGGTTCCTTAGTGTCTAAGTCTGGACGGTGTTTTTGATAAGTAACTAGGAATTCTTTGCTGAAATAACTATACTTAACTACTGTATGTATTGATCTTTTGTGAGTTGTCCTGGAAGCCTAACCTTATTCTGTTTCAATAGGGAAAGAATTCTGATTTTCAAATAACAGAAAAACAACCTCTTAGCCATTTGAAGGTTGCTGGCACTGGTTATTGTTTGGTTTAAAAAGCAACAAGGCTGTGTGTCACGGGCTAGTGTATTATTTTATCTTACTGAAATTTGCTGATTTTGACACTTTGAGTGGAAAGATGTCTACAAAGATGCTGAGTTAACTGGTCTTCAATTGCACACTTGAGTTTTGTAGCATTGCTTAAATTCATCATTGAAATTCATGTAAAATGATTGCAGTGACATTGATTGACATTTCTGATTTCTGATTTCGGAATGACAAGTTCTCTGTTTTTTTAAATGTGTGCTTACTGTAAGATTTGCTTCTCTCTGTGTTTCAGGCCGGAGCCTCAGCCCAAAGCTCCTTTAGTTCCTCCGCCGCCGCCTCCTCCGCCGCCGCCTCCACCTCTGCCAGACCCCACGCCCCCAGAGCCGGAGGAGGAGATCCTGGGATCAGATGATGAGGAGCAAGAGGACCCCGCAGACTACTGCAAAGGTGACTCTCTCTCTCGCCTCCTCCCTTCCCTTCCCTTCCTGACACCCAGGACCTCTTTGGGGAAATAGATAAGGCACCTGAGTGGTGCTAACCAACCTCGCGTTTTATTAAGTTAGCATTCCTGTGTCAATACCGTTCCATTAGCATGTTTTCAGAAACTCTAGGTTGCCTGGGAGAAAGTTGTAAGATACAAAAAAAAAATTCATATGAGGGTATTTTAAAAAGTTAAACAGTCAAAACTATTTTAGTGCAAAAATGTTTTGAACCCTTACATACAAGGAGCCTTGGAAAAGGTTCTGAAAAAACATGTATTCTGAAAAAGTTATACATGAACTTCTCATACATAATCTAGGTACCCCAATAATTTGAAAAGGATTTAATTTGATGCAATTAACAATCAAGGACAAAATTAGCTATTCGTAGAGCCTGGGGAGCAGAAGGTGACTGCTGTGCGCTGGGTCTGACACTCAGTTTTCTGACATTCAGTTTTTCTTGGGCTAAAAGAAACTGTCCCTTTCTCGGCATAGCGTTCGTTGTCTTTAGAAAGAAAACAGGCACGTTCGCGTACACAGAATTTTTCTTGGCGTTGTACTTAAGGAGAAAGACACTCTGTGAGGTCCGTTACTGTGCGGCAGAGTGAGTGGTGTTTTCAGCCGTGACTTCACGGAGGACACAGAAACCATTCAAGTGGAATGCTCTTGTACCGATGCTTTGTAGACACCAAGAGTATATAAACTGTCCGAGAGTAGATGAACGTTGGGATTGGCGCAGTCTAGACCTCATCCTTCGTATAGACTGGACTCAGGGAAGTTGCTGTCTCCATTCTGGTGGCACTTTCGTTGAGTGATTTACTTATCTGGAGGGTTTTTTTTTTTAAAGCAATTGGGGAAGTAGCTTAATTATTATAGATTATAATGTATACAACTAGGGTGGCAGGGGGCTAGCATAGTGGGTAAAGCTATTGCCAGCACCACCGGCATCCCATATGGATGCCGGTTCAAGTGTAGCTGCCCCACTTTCATCCATCTCCCTGGTAATGGCATAGGAAAAATAGTAGAATATGACCCACGGGTCTGGGTCCCGGGCATTCTCCCATGGGAGACCCAGAGGAAGCTCCTGGTTCTTGGCTTGAGCTTGGTGCAACCCTTTGACTGTTGGGGCCATCTGTGGAGTGAACTCTGTCTTGGTGACTCTGACTTTCAAAGTAAATCTTGAAAGAAGAAAAAAAGATGGTAGTTCTTTGGGTCAAGGGTATTTTAGCAGCTTATCACATATTGAGTACTTAAAAGTAACTTGTGTTTTGCTTAGGAATGAAATGTTTTCGGTTTTCTGCCAGGCAAGGAAAGTTGTTGTGCTGTGAATGTGTCAGCAGCTCATCTCCTACGCCAACCTGGTTCTGACATGGCTGTGAGCGTGTCAGTCCTGGAATGGACGTTCTCTGCAAAGAACACTGGCTCCTTCTAGTGCAGAGTGGTAGTTGTCAAGAGTTAGGAATCCTGTACGTCTATGGCTGTTGGCCTGTTAGCGCCTTTGCTACTAATGATAGTAGTTGTTCATGTTGCTTCCTGAGCTTTGAACAGACGGTGTAATTCCTATTCTCCCTCTCATCCCTGGCTCTCAGTTAGATATTTATATATCAGAATTCGCAAGGTTATTCTGAAACATCTGATCCTGCCTGCCTGCCTGCCTTCCTCTTTGTATGTGTGTCTGTCTGACACAGGGAAAGGTATCCATATTCCCTTTGCTGGTTTACTCCCCAAATGACCACATCACTGGAGTCTAGGCCAGGGTGAAGCTGGGAACAAAGGGCTCCATCCCGGTCTGTCACATGGATGAAGAATACTCAGGTATCTGGGCTGTCTTCCACTTACATACATACATACATACATACATACATACATACACACACACACACACACACACACACACACACACACACAGTATCACAGGTTGCAGTTGTAATGAGCTTACTGTGGACAGGACCTGTTCGTGAACTCTTCCCTCCCTGGGCCGGTGTCACTTTGCTACTAACACTGGTTTCCTTGATGGCTGTAGCTTTGCACGGTGAAGTCTTGAAGTGACAGTGAAGTCTTGAAGTGAGGTTCAGTCCTTTGCTCTCTTCCAGGATTGTTTTGACTGGTCTGATACTATTTGCATTAATGTATACATTTGGAGGATGGAGGAACGGCTCTCATCTCCTGGTGTGCTGCAGCCGAAACTGAGAGCTGGGGACTCGCTCTGGGTTTCCTGCTGCCTCTCAGGGTACATACCAGCAGGGTTTTCCATTTAGGATATGGGCATCTGAACCACTAGCCAAACACCGCCTGGCCTTCTCAGTTAATGGCCCCACCTGGTTATTCCTCTTCAGGTCTCATGCTGAAGCATAACCCCCTCTGAGTTTTAGAGGAGACGAATCATCTTCAAAACTTAGCAGTGCAGATGAGTCATAATGGCAGTCCTGCTCCCACCTGTCGGTCCCTGCATAAGCTGTCCTTGGGGTCTGGCAGTCTCCTAGCATCACTGCGTGCCTTCCCTCATGCTCTTCCCTTCTCAGCTCACTCCTGCCCGTGCTGCCCATGTCCACCAAGAGAATGCCACTGTGTCTGCCATGGTGGCTGCCCACGCTGTACTCAGAATTGCGACATGGTTAGGTGGCATGACAGTAATGGGAAAGAGTGGCCTGAGTGCTGCCAGAGTCATTTCCCGAAACCCAGCCACTGCACACCCCTGCGTGTCTGCCCTCTGCACTCCATTGCAGAGAGCTCTTCCCTCTGCGGCTTCCTCCCGGGTCTGGACACGGACTTTGGTGTCCGCAGGCTGACTGGTGCTCCCTTCTGCTCCCTTCGCCCTGTACCACCTTGTAGGCGTGCTGAGCGGGCAGTTCCATCCTTCCTGAAGCCCTGGCTCCTTGGGGCCGTCCTCCAGTTCTCTCGGATGGCCCAGCATGGTTGGTTAACATCTGGGTGTAAGGTAGGATTTGAAAGGCACTTGTGAACAGAACCTGTTAATGGAGCGACTTTGGATGTGGTGTTTACATCTTTTTCACTTGGGGATAATGTACAGATGGGCTGCACCTACCCAGATTCTTCATCCAGATTTCTGTCCTTATTAGCACTGATTGGCTGAACTGGAAAGAAGTTTGGGGACCGCCTTTCTTTGTATTGTGTCCTGTTTCAACTTGGAATTGAAAAGAGTTATGTAAAGTTAAGGAAATTGCATATTTTGCAGGAATTTGTGTGTTTTACGTAGGAAACAGTAATTGGAAACTTATTCCCCCTCACAGTTTAAAAAATTGAAATGATTCATATTTGTACCTTTCTCCTTTTTCAAGTTAGTGTGTCTTTTCCCCCCCAGCTTGTAAAACTGCCATCTCTACCTAATTATAAATTTCCTCCATCCCTGCCAAAGAAATAAGGGTCCACTCTCAGTCCATCCTCTGCCTCATCCTAGCTGAGGCCACTGTTGGCCTCTTTCCTCCAGAGGCTGGGCTGACGGTGCCATGCAGTCGATAGCCTGCTGTGTTTGGTGTATCTGAGTTAGCCCAGGCGTTCAGGTTCCGTAAGTACACATCAGTGCTACCCCACTGCTCCGGTAGGAGGTTGCACACAGGTGGATTCTTGTTGCTGTATTCACCAGTTCCTGGCTACAGGGTCCTCTGCTTTGAGCTGCTATGAACAGGCTACTCTGAGGATTCTTGTGCGAGTTAAAGCGAACGTTTGTTTGCACTTTTCTCGGTATGTGTCTATAAGAGGAATGGCTGTCATTGAATTTTTTTGATGATCTTCCGCAGTTTCTCAAGGGAGACGCGTGGCTGGGTATTCCCACCAGCAATCATGCCGTGATTACACTTAATCCTTGTGTCTTCTTTTACATCTCTGTGGCTTTTCCCCCCGTGACTTATTGCTTATCCACTTGGTGTTTATTTGCTGCTCTCCCTGATCTTCCTGGGCTGTGCATGCTCCTGCTCGCTGTGCCACTCTTGTTCACTACGGCCCATTCCGAAGCTAGCACAGTAGTCATTTGGAGGGGGAGAGCACTGGCGTGGCAGTGTTCTCTCCAAGACCATGTGACTGAAGCTCCAGAGCAGTTTCCAGAAGGAAAGCTTTGTTAACAGCAGTCTTGGCCTTAGCCCGGCTTGAGGGCAGTGAGGGTTGTGAGGGCCAGTGAAGTGCTTGGGGAGGGCCTCTAACCGCTCCCTGATAGGTCTTAAATGAACGGGGAGGATTTCAGAGGAGAGCGTAGCAGATTCCTTGGTGAAGTCCAGCAGTGAAATGGGTATAGCTTGCAGGGTAGGGATAGTGTCAGATATGAGCAGAAGGAAGGTGTGTTAGGCAGAAGAGAATAAACCCGAGATTTCAGAAAATTCAGCAGTCGGGGCAGTTGAGCAATTTTTGGAGACAGTGGCAGCATCTCGGGGGTTGACAGTACATCTTACACAACATTGGAGGGATTTTACGTAGCCGTTGTGGCGAGCGCAGTGAGGACTGTCTGGCAACTATTGCAGAAGAAATAACCCACAAACCGTGTGGACTCAAATCACCTTTGTTTTTCTGGTGACAACAATGCATTAGGAATTTGGAAGAGGGCAAAGCTGGCAGGGGATGTCTCTGCTTCCCGCTATCTGAACAGCCTTAAATATTTGAAAGGCTTGGTGTGACTCACGGCTGGGGACTGGAGTTAGCAGCAAGCTCACACGTCTAGGAGGTTAAAGACCAGGGCTGCCAACGGAGCACCTGTGTGTGTGTGCTCATGTGCTGTGTCTTCCTTGAGTATGCAGACCCCTCAGCTCTCAGATTTCATACCTGGTAGGTCAGTTGAAGAGAGCATATGTATACTTCACGAAATTCCCAACATTAATGTGTACTGTTTAAAGTACCATGGAACCTCAGAACATCAGAAACTCACTGAGACTCATAAGGACGGGAATTACAGTGCACGTCTTGATGGGCTTAGGGTTTTAGAGGCTGTCTAATTGCAGTGTTGGGTGCCTGACACGCATG